ATTTATCAAAATTCTATACCATGTGCCGCAATACATGACATGGTGAGGGAATTCCTTACTATGCTCACACGCTCTACTTCGCAATGCCATTCTTCTACTCAAATTTATTTATATAACATCCCAATAAGTCAATATACCCCTCTATCTTCCAAGTCATAACCTCATATTAAATTACTAATTCACCCTTAATTGACATAAATGCTAGAATCAAGAATTCGAGATGTTACAATATGAATGTCTTCAATTTTTTAAGCTATTCTTGGATCATCCTTCTCTTTATATTCTCTCATCTTGAGTATGGCATGAATGCTAATGATGACTTCAATTTCTTCTTCTTCATGCTTACTTTCATCTTTACTTTGGACAACTTTAAATAATATATTATGATCAAAATGGTTAGTCCAAGTATGATAGTATGAAAAAACTTTAATGCATACAAATCATCTTTTTAAATTTCATGTAATATAAAACAACATAAGTAAAAATACTTTAAAGCACTTATTCCATAGTCACAGTTAACTACTATATATATGAAAATGATTAGGTATAAGTGTAGCTAACTCATCCATATTTGTCATAATGAAAACTTAAACTAAACATAATGTCACAAGTCATTATGTCCAACAACTAACTGATCAGGTGTGAAATGGTTGGTTACAAAACCTAAGCCATTCTAGATGACAAATCGTGTATGGAATACTCTACCTCTAACATATGAAATGACTAATTACAAAACTAAACCATTCTAATGGACAAATCACGTGTGAAAACAATGTGAATTCAAGCAAGGATTGCATGATTAAAAGGTTTAGAAAAATGAGTGATAAATCATGGCAAGTGTATAAATGAGCATATAATATGGAATAGGCTTGAGATGGCCTAAGATTCACTTAGCCTAAATGTGTTCAATTTGACGTAGTGACAAAACATATGTGAAGACTTTCACTTCTAGGAGTGAAATGTCACTACACAAAATGCAAAGGAATACAAGGTGACAATTTAAATGAGCATACACAAGGGTAACTTACGTGAATGGGAGCACAGAAGCTTCATCAAGACATCATATAAACACAAGTGACAAATCATGCATGGATCACTATTGATTCAAGCATAAAATGTCAATTAGTGTGCCTAGAGTGACAAATCACATGTGGGACCATTCTTAATCATGCTTGAAATGTCATATAGTAAAAAGCTCAACTTCTTTGATCCAATTTAAGCTAGAATGATGTTACTCTTAAGCTTGAATTGACTAAGACAAGTCCTAAGATGCACAAATAAGACTTATGAGACTAAGATGGTGCATTAATTTTAAAGTTGATAACATGTGATTTAGCTTTCAAAGTTTTCACATTGAATTTAAGACAAATAAATAACTTATCCTATAAATCTTATTCTTCCCTTAATTTTTCATGATCTTGAAGGTTATGCCTCATCCATAAATCTTTATGTATCTACACACATAGCACACACCTCTTCTCCTAGTTTTGTAATCATTAAGACACATGAATCAATAGTAATTTGCTCTAAATTCTAACATTTAAGGTCCAGGATGCTACTTACACAATAGTTTAGGAATTGTGGTGCTCATTAACTAATGACACATTAGCAAGAGACTGCCATGTTAGCATTTGACTAGGCTCCATAAAGTCAATGTTAACAACTTTATCTATAAGTTAATGTTAGGGGTAATTTGCTTTGGATTTAGAAGTTTAGGGTTTATTTTGTACATTTTAGAAGTTTAGGTCTAGGGTGCTTTTGTGTAATACTTTAGGGTCCAAAATGCTCATTAAACCAACTAATAATTTCTCTATTATTGATTTATAATGAATGTTAAAAATATCAATTAAAGTACTATAATATTATCTTTCAAATCTATTTTTAGTTTTATTCTGTATAGGACACAAGTATTTTATTACTTGAAAGAACAAGGTCCTCTCACCGATTATCGTCATCAATACTTACAAAAATTATATATTAGAAATCACATTATTCATTAATCATAAATAAAATGACTTGTCTTAAGATCATATAACAATCTAAACTCGCATTAGTGAATATTTATTCATGTAATCCTCTATTAATCTATGTATTGATAATAATGGACAATGTGAACGTTATTCAATCTGTTAAATTATTCCATTATTGTGAGTAAATTATTACATTATTCTATTAATCTGTATATCCATACTAATGAATAGTACAATTATTTATGTAGTTACATTAACACAGTTTTTATTAGATATTTTTGGCAGAAATTTATTATTAAGGAGAATGACTGAGAGGTCCCAAAAGGACAAATCAATTCAACCAAGGTCTTAAGTGCCAAACTCCAAGATTGTAACTTCGGTTCTCAATTTTGCAACTTCATTGTGATGAATTTGCAACTTATTCTCCCAATTTTAACAAGGAAAATAAATTTGTTCATTCTTCAACCATGTTAAAATTTGAAAAATAAGTTGTAAATTCATCACAATGAAGTTGCAAAATTGAGAGCCAAAGTTTGCAAATTCATAGAGTTCGACACTTGTGACCTAAGTTAGATTAATTGGTCCTTGTAACCTAAGTTGTATGTTAGGGTAGCTTTGACGTAAATGGGTATTCATTTTGTATGAAATTCCAAGATGAAAAAACTACTATACAAAATAGTAGAGTGATGGTTGTAGTTGAAGCTCAGCATTTTTCTGGTTCTAAAGATAAAAACCCAAAATGGGCTCCTATAACCTATTATGGAACTATTGAAGAGATTTGGGAGATTAACTACATTAAATTCAAAATTGTTATTTTAAAATGTAAGTGGGCTCATAGGAGTGGCATCCAGATAGACAAGATTGTTGGATTTACCTTAATGGATCTTAATAGGTCGGTCACATTAGTAAGCCTTTCAATTTAGCAAATCAAGCAAAACAAGTATTTTATGCTACTGATCTAGTAAATAAGTGCTTTTCTATTATTCTTCAAGGCAAAAGACAAACTGTAAAAGCAAATGGTGACATGACTTTAGTTTTAATCTTGACGAGGCCTCACCTTTCACAACATATCCCCTTCAATCAAGTGTAGTGGATGAGACAAACAATGAATATGCTATTAGAGATGATCATTACGAAGGAATTTGAGAGAATGAATAAAGTAATAGTTTTTTATTTTGTTTATTATTTTAGTTTATTTTCTTTCTTTTAATCAATCTTGCCTTGTTTCTGATAAATATACATATATATATATATAGAGGGTTATGGAGGAGAAGATACTGCCACTAGCTCACCTAGTAAGAAGAGGGGTAGAGGCCCTACAAACACTACAAAAAATTATTATTATAATGATGAAAATTAGAGACGGCCTACTTATCATCTCTAATAGAGACAGAAATAGAGACTAGTTATATTTTTTGAGATGAGTTTAATATGAAAGAATATTTTGAAATATAGAGACGTATTTAATTTAAAGATGAGAGAGTTGGCTATACATCATGCGACTACAAAGAAATTGCATGTTGAACTTAGTCTGAATTTGGTTCCACTTCGCGCTAAGGGAGATCAATTTATCAGCTTCATTTACCTTTAGGGTTGTAGCAAAATTAGCATTCTATATAAAGATTGGAGACAAGTACCACAAGCTATTAAGGATCAAGTTTGGGATGAAATTCTGGTAAGTATTGTTAACTTCAGAACGGTTATTTTTAATAGTAATCTTTTAAAATTTTTAACTTACTTAAAATTAAATTACTTTATAGCTAACCTATGATGTTTCTACTACCACTAAGATGAAGAAGCATTGGTTAAAAATGTTTGTGAGCATTGGTAGGATTTGAAGTCAACATTGACTAGAGATTATGTCCATGCAAATGGAAAGAAGTTCATAGTACAATTTTCTTATTGAAGACACTTGGAGACAGTTTATGGTATCTCGAATTGACCCTGAAATCCCAACTAATAAGTTTTCACTTTTATCTAAAGTTGTTTAAAATGATTTTATTGATTTTTTTTCATTTGCACAGAAATTAAGCATTGCAAATAAAGAGACTTAGTCACAGAATATATATCCCCATTACATGTCTCATGGAGGATATAAGAAAGTTGAGGACAAGCTAATGGAGGAAGATCAAAAGAAAATGTAGGAAGTAGCAAAATTAAACCCCTCCATTATTGTTTGGCCACAACCTCGCCCAACTTGTCATAGAACATGGAAGGTTATGAGGATAAAGAAAGGGGAGTATACCATTCTAAAGGCTGCTATAGTTGCTAAAAGAATTGTAAATAGTTAAATTTATTATTAATTGTCTTTGAAGTAGATAAATTAATTATTTGTTAACTTATTAACTACTTTACTTGTATATTATAGGATTCACTTAAGGAGTAAGCTTCCCAAGGTTGCATTGTTGTGAATATAAGAAGGAAAGTTGTAATTATTTAAATAAAACTTGTGAATCATGGTATTTTGAGGGATGAAATTGTCATTTATATATTTTAAACGGATGTTATTATCATGTTCCCTAGTATTAATTTGAATGATTTTATTATTTAGATTTTTAATAATTTGGATCCCTATAATGATTAGGAGATTGATGACATTTGAGAAATATTGGCTCATCAAATTCTTCAAGAGCACTTTTCAATGTGAGAGATTGCCAAGTTGTTAGTTGAACAGATATGTATATTGATTAGATTATAGATATAGTGGGAAAATATCACGTTAATTACAATTAGCATGGACAAATATTATGCTAGTTATGTGTATATCTACTTGATTCTGTTGGCTAGCTAGCTATTTTTACCTACTAGATATATTCTTGACAATTTACGCGTTTATATCATGGATGTGTTAGAAAATGAACTGGACATTGAGAAAAAAAATAAGACTTTCCACGTCGGTTAAAATAATTAACCGATGTGGAAAGTAGACATTCAACATCAAGTAGTTGTTTAACTGACATGGAATGTCTCACCTTTCATGTTGATGTGGAAATAACTGATATGGAAAGTCATACTTTCCACCACAAAATGTATGACAACCACTTTTAAACTGATGTAAAATATCTAAAATAACTTACATAAAAAGCACTTCCTCCAATAGTATTGTTATGTTGGAGCTACAAAGCTAGCTAGTTGGAATACACACACACTGTATGCATGCATGCATGCATTTAGTTCCTTTTAAGGCTCTATCTTCGTCTTAATCCACACTTCCCCTTTCTTCTTCTTCTGTAGTCAAAGCAAAATACAAATAAACTGTGGTTATTAAGTACACAAACATGAACCTCTCGATGTACTATAAACAATATTGTGTAACAAATCATACTTTATTAATAAGTCATGAATCATTCAAATCTCACGATTTAGATCTCATGACCAATCTAAATCGACTCACTTAATGAGTGTTTTTCATGGTATGATAACAACTAACAAATACTATATTTTGTCATATAATATTAAAATATACTAAATCTCAAAGTTTTGGAAGAGATGAGGATTTGTTCTTATTATCATGATTGTTTTGAGTTATTAATAAAGTATGATTGAAAAATTCAATGATTATAATTGAAACACTTATTAAAAAAGTGAATTTAAGCTACTCAACTAATTCAAATCCAATTATTAATGTGACACTAGGTAATTAATTAAAGACAAACACATATAATAGACTTGCCTTGTCAATATCAGTGCCACTATGGTTTGCTTGGTCCTCGTTCTTCTTTGTCTTCTTGTCAGTGTCACTGCCAGTATGGTTTGCATTGTCATCATTCTTTTTTGTCTTCTTGTCAATGTCAGCACTACTATTTGTCGTCTTCTTCCCATTTTCATATTCGATATCATTATTAGTGTTGCTACTACTACTACCGCTATCAAAGCCATGGCCTCCGTTGCCAGGGTCATTACTGACACTGTTGAGGAAGTGACCAATCTTTTTGTCAGCCTTTTTAATCTGTTTATCAATTATTCTATCTATCATTTCCATTATTTTTTTCTTCTCCTCCTCCCTTTTTCTTTTTTTAGCTTCTTCCTTCCTCCTCACTTCCTCCCTCTTCCTTTCTTCTTCCTTCCTCCTCTCTTCCTCCCTCTTCCTTTCTTCTTCCTTCCTCCTCTCTTCCTCCCTCTTCCTTTCTTCTTCCTTCCTCCTCTCTTCCTCCCTTTTCCTTTCTTCTTCTTCCTCCCTTTTCCTTTTTTCTTCCATTACTTCTACTATGGTTGATAACGCTGTTCCCATGGTTTCCCTTTTTTGGAAAACATATATTTAAACTATCACTCAATGATTGTTTTTGAATGCCCTCTTTTGATCGCTTGGTCTGTGTTGTGGATCCATGAAGCTCTTATTGTTACTTATATAGAGTATCATGCATGCATGGCATGGTGATGGAGCATGTGGATTGTTCACAATAACAATATGTCTAGATTTATTGGTTTTATTCTATATTTATTGAAATAAACATTATAAGAATTTAATAAATTTATCTTATCATCAATTTTAACAACATAGATTTAATTTGAATAACTATATCTGGATAGTCAATTTATAAAAATTATAAAAAAATTCATATTAAATTAGACTATTTAAATTAAATCTACGCTATTTAATTTGGATAGTCCAAATGCTCATCAAAACCAAACCCAATGATATTCTTTGTTTGTTATATAGAAATTATAAAACAATTTTGGTGAGTTGGGTCAAAAGTGCTTATAGATCACTTATCAACAAGATTGTTTTCTAGGTGGTAGGATTTAGTCCCGTGACCTTTTATGAGTCATAAGCTACATCCTTACCAACTAGCTAGACTGACCTCTATTTACTACATGGCAATATTCTTTTATTCTCTAAAACTTAGACAATGAATCATTCTAAAAATTTAAATCTATACCAGTAGTATATCGTAAATAATTATTTATTTGTTATATTGCTAGAATTAACAATCTACAAGCTATTTACGATTTATGAGAAGAAGATAAAGTTTGAAATATAATACATTATAATTAATTAATGCATCACATTCTATGAAATAATAATTTAATTGAGGATAAAAAATTTTGTATTATTTTGCCAACAAAACTATTATGTATTCCATACACTTGTATACACCGCTATTTATATGCCATAATTGAATTTTTTTTTTTAAATGCTATTTCACTTACTGTACTATACTCATAAATAACTCAGAACTTCACAACAAATAGTAGCGAGATTAATTTAAAACAAATATTAAAACTTGAATCTGACACATTTATACATTTGACATTGTTTAGAGATTCTAAATTTAAATCAATTTTGTCAATATCCTAATTTTCTTATATCATGCATTTCTTCAATTAATTGAATCCTCTTATGTCTTTCCCATTATGCGAATGTGTATGTAACTTATGGCCATGAGAGTTTTGGTTGTTCATTACAAATATAAAGAAGATTATTAAAAAGTGGCAACTAACCTATAAATAAGACCAATTTTTTTTTCTCTATTTGCCCTGTAAATAGGATCAAAAGAATATAGGTATATCTAATTGTTTTCATTTTATATCAAATGTATTATAATAAATTATATTCCAATTGGCAAAAAAATTATATTCCTACAAGTTCAGCTTTATTATTTTTCACTTTGGAATATAAAGTTTATTCTACTATCAATTACTATGTATTAATAATCGATCATTTAAGAGTATACTTCTTTATGATGTCCTATTTTTATTTTGCAAATAATTTATTTGATGAAAGATTTTGCATATAGTTTCATTTTGACAATTTTTTGGTTAAAAAGGTTTATGTTGGTGTAGGTAGTTACGTTAGAACATGTTAATTCCTGTTAGATCTAATGTAGTTCTATTAGAACAGGTTGATCCCTCTCAGATCGACTCATTTAAGTTTGTTTAAATGGAGGGCTAGGTTTAAGGTAATTTGGACACACATGCTCACAAAGATAGAGATATTTATAAAAAAATTTAACACACACAAATAGAGACATTGATATTTTAAAAAAATTATTAATATTTAAAAATGAGGACGGAGAAAATCCAATTTTTTTAAAAAAGATTGAGAATGTTAAAAAAGTAAACCCTAATCTAGTATTTTATTTGGTTAATATTTAATTTTGAATGGTTTAATTTATTTTACTTGATTTTTTTTAAACTCAGGCTGATTTTGATTCATTTTCCCACTCTTACTCACCAAGTTATAACATGATTTATATATATATATATATATATATGAATGTTGTTATAAAAATACTTGCAAATTATATCGACAAAAATCATCACATCAAAAGAAAAGAATATATATATATATATATATATCAAGAGATTATTTTAAAATATATGATGAGATAACAAGAATGTCCGAATTACCTTTCTTTTCCATTGGAATTAAACTTTTCTCAAAAGTCATAGGTTCCATTTGGATTGCCATTAATTTTATTCTCTTTTCTAGGTCTTGTAGCATTTTCTACTTTTTCCCTTCATGTGTGTGCACTTCACATCAATCCTACGAGTTGGATTCCTTTTATATGACATTCTACAAAATATTTTTTCTCTTTGGACACAATCAATTAATTTTCTAACTACAACTAGAGCCTCAAAATAAAAGGGAAACACCAATTCTATATACAAAAATGAGTTATTATATTGAAGGTAAATGGATTAAAAACAAATCTATCACATCATTTTATCGTTAGCAAATTTCAACTAGAAAATAAAGAGATACTTTAACATTATTTGGAGATAGAAATAAAATAAATGGAACAATATATGTAATAGATTTGTTTTTAATCCATTTACCATCAAGTAATAACTCATTGTTACACACAGAATTGGTGATTTTTTTTTTATAGCTTTAGTTGTAGTTAAAAAATTAAATAAATCAAACTCTTGTTTCCATAGCCTTTGTTAAATGGTGGCTCGGTTATTACAACAAATACCTCCTTATTTGCAATGGACCATTTTCAGGGTAAGATCTTAGCTTTTAGGCATACTATTTGTAGTGTCATATGCATTAATTTAGCAAATGAGTTGTTTGTGTCAATTTTGACACACTTATCATGCTCATAAGAAAATTGTATTAGTATAAAATTAGAAAAAAATAGTAATTATTAGTTCATCTCATGTGAAAGTTAGTTACAAGCTCCATCAATTTGTTTTTTTAAAACAAAAGTGACTTATGATGAGTCATTGGTTCCTTTAGGAAAGGAGAAAAAAGTACAAAACATAAATGCAATTCCTAGGACTTCTATGACGCACACCCTTCACGAAAGAGTGAACAAAAATAATGGCTATCTAAATATGAATGGAACTCATTCGCATGACTAATGTGAACATTCATATTCCCATTTGAAAGAAATTAAGGTCAAGCATATTTTCCAAAAAGCAAAACTAAAATCTTATAAAATAGTATATCTTCAAAAGGAACCATGCCACCAATTCTGTGAGTAACAATGAGTTATTACCTGATAGTAAATGAATTAAAAACAAATCTATTACATATATTGTTCTATTTATTTTTTTGGTTATTTCCAACTAATGTTAAAGGATCTCTTTATTATCTTATTGAAACTTGCTAACAATAAAATGATATGCGATAGATTTGTTTTTAATCTATTTGCCTTTGAGTAATAATTCATTTTTATATACAAAATTGATGTTTTCTTTTTATTTTGAGGTTCTAGTTGTAGTTAAAGAATTGAACAAATCAAAATGAACATTAATTGATTGTGTTGAGAGAGAAAAGATATTTATGTCAACAAAAGGAATCCAACTCCTAAGATTGGTGTGAAGTATACACATAGCAGGGGAAAAAGTAGAAAATGCTAGAAGATCTAAAAGAGAGAATAAAATTAATGGCAATTCAAATGGAACCTATGGCTTTTGAGAAAAGTTGAATTCCCATGGAATAGAAAGGTAATTTGCACATTCTTATTATGTCTTTATATATTTTAAAATGATCTCTTGATATATATATTTTTTTCTTTTGATGTGATTATTTTGTCAATACATAATTTGTAAGTTTTTTTATAACTACATTTATTCACATAACTTGTTATAATTTAGTGAGTAGAGGTGGGTAAATGAATCAAAATTAGCCCGAGTTTAAAAGAATCAAACTAAAAATACTTAACTACTCAAAAATCGTACTTTTTGCAAAGCTCAATAGTTTAGAGTCATCCCAAGAGCCTCAAGCCCTTTGAATTGCTTTTTTAAAAATTGTCTTCAAAATATATATATATATATATATATATGAAAATAGAAACAAAATTAAACCATAAACAATTAAATATCAACCAATTAAAATACTAGATTATAGTTTCCTTTATTAACATTCTTACTCTTTTTTATCAAAATTTTGATTATCTCCCTCCTATTTTTTTAATATTAATAAATTGTGTGTGTGTGTGTGTGTGTGTGTACACGCACACACATGTATGACTTGCCAATCTATTTATTTTTAAGCTTATTGGGGCAAAGCCCGAATAAGCATTAATGTGCCTGAACCTTAAACCTAGCTCTCATTTACGAACTTAAATGAACTGATCTGACATTAACTAATTAATATTTGTAATGAACAACCAAAAAGCCTATTGCCATGAGTTATATACACATTCCAATCATAGGAAAGACATAAGAGGATTTGATTAATTAAAGAAATGCGTGATAAAAGAAAATTAGGGTATGCACAAGATTAATTTAAATTTAATTTAGAATCTCTAAATAATCTCAAATATATAGATGTGTTAGATTCAAGTTTTACTATTTTTTGTAAATTAATCCCACCACTATTAGCTATGGAGTTTTGAGTTATTGATGAGTACAAAATAAGTGAAGTAGCATTTTAAAAAAAAATAAATTATGGCATATAAATAGTGGTTTGTGTAAGATCCAAAGAGACCAGATTGTAATCAAACTATAATGACCAAGAGGTCAAATTGTAAGGTTTTATAAAAGAAATTATCAAATTCTTTCAAAAGAATCACAATTTCAATAATTCAAATCTCAAACATTATTTAATAAGTCCATATCAATGTTTTGAAAGTAAAGTGGAAGCTAGAAAGTCAATTGGGACCCAAAATAATGAGTTTTAAAACTCAAAAACAGATTTTATGTAGAAAATGTTATGTGCACCGTGGCTTACGGCATGTGCGCTGCAGCTTGGCTTCTTTGTGCCATGCACCACGGTGCATTGCATGAAATTTGACAACATTAGTGCTGTCATTTTACAGCACAGGAACTGAACTTCCGACGCGTCCCAAATCTCCGTCCAACGTCCTATTGAGTTGGTTTTAGTATCTACATGGAACTTTC